CAGGTGGCCTATCTGTCTTGCTATCTGGTCCCCTTGAAAAAGGACATAGACTCCTCTAAGATGCCTTTTGTACTGAGTCTCATGTTTGAACTTCTGTATCTTTGCATCGCTCGACTTTACTGTAAAACCTGAATGATTTTAGTATGAGTTCCTTCCTTGAGTCTGACCAAAATTAAATTAAATTATAAATAAAAAAATTAAATTTTTAAAATTTTAAAATTTAATTTTTAATTAAATTAAAAAATAAAATATTCTTTAATTATGCTCTAGTCATTAGTCATGCATCTGAATATTTTACTGGACCCAATTATGCACTTAACAAAACTTTAACAAAACTAGTAGTGATAGTTGAACAAGAACCCATTCTGCATATCCTACCAGGACGATCATCTCCTAACTTATCCTGTGCCTTCTGATCACAATGTCCTGCCTTCTGAAACAGTGGCAGTAAGTCAATTTAACTAGAAACCCCTCAGTCTGGAGATAACATTTTGGCAAGAAATAGGGTCTAAATTTAAGTCCTTGAGCAAGGAGCGTGGTCCATCCCTTCATACTCCACCTCTTGGCTGTGAAGCCCCATTTGCTTCTGTACTCAGAACTGAGCTCATTCCCATAATTACTCCATCTTGTGACATTTCAATAATCAATAACTTATTTTCATAATTTCAACTCTTGTGATCCTATTTCTAAGATTTATTTTACTTTTAATTATATATATGAATGTATGATATGCTATGTATTTATATATGTATGTATGTATGTGTGAATGTATGTATATATGTATGTATGTATGTATGTGAGTATCTACACTCATGTGGCCATACAAGTGTCTGCAGAGGCCAGAACAAGGCATCAGAACACTTGATATTGAGGTTATAAGTAGTTGTGAGCCACCTGACGTGGGTGGTAGGAAATGAATTCGGATAGCTCCCAGCCCTCTTTTAGTGAGCTTTTGCTTTAGAAACAGATTTCTTTCATATTTTTGAGACACCGCTTCACGTAGCCCAGTGCTGTTCTTGACATCACTATTTAAGCAGTGATGACCTTGGACTTTTGATCGCCTGGCTTCCACCTGTCCAATCCTGGGATTACAGGCATTTTCACAACATCCACTTAACATGGTTCTGGGGTACAAGCATTAGAAGTTTCTGCACATTAGGCAAACACTCGACCAACAAGCTTCATTCCCAGGCAGGTGGTTAACTTTTTTTTTTTTAATAAAAAATTATCAGGACTTTCTAAAAACAAAATTCTACAAACTCATTAATCTTTTAAGGTCCCTGGTTTCCTATAGTGATGGTTTCTTTTTTAATCTCACAGTAACTCTGGATAGGTAGACAGGTATTTTTATTCCTTTCTTTCGAGTTATAAAATTGAGGTACAGAGAGGTCAGATCTGAGAAAATGAGTGTGGGAGCCAAGGTCTCCTCATTTTCAACCCCAGACTCCTTGTCTTATGATGGAGATGAGTCTCTGGGAGTTTCGAATGAGACTGTTATCGATGGTTTGAGAGCAGAATAATTCTAATATGTCTGGCTGTTGAATCAGACTCCGCATCTAGCACTGAGTTAAGTAATGTGGATTTAAAAATATAGAAAGAAACCCACAGAGCTACAGAATATAAAATGTTGGCCTAGAGGAGAAGAAACAAGTCCAGGTTGGCTTTTATGTTTTTTTGTTTTTCCATTCATTGGTTTATTTATATTTTTAAATCAAATCTTAATTTTTACTTATTCACATAGGGTTATAAACACAAAAAGGCAGGACGTGGGGAAGGGGATGACACCGGAGCCTGGGTGTTCAGGGGAAATACAGATATCTTTCAGAACAGGATATCAGCTGGGTGAAGGTTCAGGGGACAGGTCACTATGACTCTGCCTATGATTTACTTGTCCTTATCTAAGTTGGTATTATCTGTCAAGGCTACCTATTTACAAGGTCTACGACTACTCAGGTTGGTAAATTTCCACAAAAGCTGCCTGTTTACAATAGCTTATAGCCATCCGTTTCAATGGTTTTCCACAGAGACACAAGACTTGGTGTTAGTATACATATATGACAGGCCTATTGCTGATTTTAGGCCTATGGCTGATTTTAGGCCTTCAGTGTATAAGCAGGACTGCCTCTGACATCTCTTCCCTTCTCTAAGTATAGAAAGGCTGTGGCAATTCTAATCTTGCGAAGGGCCACTGACAAGAACATCAAACAGCTAGAGATTGACATCACTAATTTCAAGAAATCCCTCATTTCGCTGTCTGAAGAGACCTCCAAAAATTGCAAAGGATTTATTGGACATGATTTACTCTTTTACAATAGAAAAGGCTGTGTACAGCTCTTGACTATGTACATCCCTTAAAGAAGAATGCTGCCTTTATGTAGACAAGACAGGGATGGTTAAAGAGAGCATGAAAAAGGTCAGAGACGGCCCTGAGAAAAGACAGAGAGAAAGAGAAAAATGAGTGCTGGTACAAGAATTGGTTTTCAGCCTCTCCATGGTTGTCAATCCTAGTTCCTCCCATCTTGGGACCATTAATTGGGTAATTTTTGCTTATTTCTGCTGGCCCCGGGCCTTAAATAGGCTAACTTTGTGAAACAACAGATAAATAATTTGGTAGCAAAACCTATTCAGATATATTATCATAAGTTAGCTATGGAGGACCACGAGACCCAAGATGAGGTTGTTACTCTACCCAGGGTGTTCCCAAATCCCATCTCCACCCAACCTTAAAGAAGGGACTTCTGCCCCTAGACCAAGCAGAGAGGGGCCATCCAGAACCTCCACTGACTGGCGATCTGAATTCTTGCTTAGGCTAAGTGGCTAAGCATTGCAAGGGAATATAAATAAAAGTTAAAAATATCTCTCTGGGTTCCCCGAGGGACAAGCCTGACTGCATAGGGGTTGATGTCAAAAGTATCCCCTCTCCAGGCTTTTATGTTTAAAATCAGAAATGTTTGAACAGCCATCTCAAAACTGTATGTTTGAATAAAGGACAAAAATATCCAAATAACTGTAAATAATTTTAGTGTAGAATGTTTACTTCACTGCTTGCCATATGCTATGAGTTTGTCTATGATCTTCACTTCCCAACATTTAGGAAGGCATGCTCCTTGTTTTAATATGTTCACTGCAAAATTAGTCTTTAGCATCCAACTTACATAGATCTTAAGTGATGATTTAGGAAACGGAGCCTAAACAAATGTACAATGGAGAGAATGAAAACACACAAAATTGGATTCTAGCATGCATGGGTATTACATAAATACTGTGAAGTACAATTTGAAATAAAAATAGAGAAGGAAAATGGAGTGCCTTGGAGTGTCAAACACAAACTAACTGATTGGTAAGGCTTACTTTGTTTGTTTGCTTGTTTGTTTTTTAATACTGAAAAAGTAAAGAGAGTCTTAATTTACATCTGCCCTTTTCCTCTCTCTCTAGAATATTCATGTAAGACTACAAACTATTATGGACATTACAAATGATAGTAAATGGAAGGGCATTTGTTTTCTTTTAATTATGTTCCAAGAAAGACTTTGTTTTGCCCCTCCACTCACTCACTGTGAGGAATCAGGAAGAGGCCAGTATTGCTTCTTCATGGAACCTCAGTCTTCTGACTGTCCCCCTTTTATCCCCTGCTTGCCCAGAACCATATTAGCTATCCACCCCTGGGTCTTTCCCTCGCAAAATATAAATTTGATTTTTCTGGTTTAATTTGTTGACAAAATGCAGACACATGAGCATGCAAATTTTATAAATTGGTGGTAAGATTTGAGAAATCTACACACCTTCCCTTAGGGCTTAAATTTAAATTCTGGTTCTATCTAAATTACTAGGGAGTTTTGCATCACGAATTATCTATGAGATATGAGAAAAATATCCCCTCTAGTAAATTCTGCTTCCTATTTCCTGTTTCTCTTGTGGGTTTGGTAAGTCTTTGGGTAATATATACAAAAATAGAGCTGTGTGAATATGTGCTAACATCTGCTAGTATGTGTGCATATGTGTACGTATGTGTGTGTTCATGTGTGCCTGTGTGTGTACGCATACTTCTGCATGTGTATTCCCATGTTTTTGTTTTCATACATGTGTTTTGTGTGTGAGTGTGTATATGTGTGTTTGTTAGTGTGTGTGCATGTGTGTATGCCCATGTTCATGTATGCTTGTTTGTATCTATTTCTTTATGCTTCTGTTTTGGGTTTTGTGTGCTTACTTATGTGTTCATGTGCTCGTATGTTCATTTATGCCTATGTATATTTGTGTGTGTTTGTAGCTATATGTGAATGTGTGTGTGTTTGTGTATGTAGGTGTGATATAAATGGGGGTAGGGTATGCCACAGTATGGATGTAGAGGCCAGTGTCATTTCAATAATGTTTGAATCACTATGCTATTTTGAAGACCAAAAGAGTCAATTCATTTAAGCATCTGTCCTGATACACAGAATCAGATATTAATGACAACTTCACATACAAAAGTATGGTGTGAATATCTCCATGCCAATGCTACTTGAGTAATGACAAAACAGTGCCTCAGAATAAATTATTTGCTTCTAGAGAGGCAACTGGTGAATAATGAGCCCAAGTTCACATATCACTTTGATGTCTTCTGCATTATATTGTCTTCCGTATATTCAGTTTCTTCACTCAAGCCTGTAACTTGGTCAGCACATGTTGTCAGAAGTATAAATGTACTTTGTTAATTTTTCTGACATGAGAAACAATAAAGCCTATTATGGGATAAGATTCAAGTTCAAGCAGGTTTTAAAGTGCTGCCTAAGTGGAAAATAATCCGATCTGAACCACTTCTTGGAAAAAAAAATATAACTCATCAGGCACACTATGGCAAAAATAATGAGCTAATCAAGACACTTCTCAAGTTTTCCTTAGTATGTTATATATAGTTGCATATGACAATCACAGAAGTGAGCACGTGGAAGGCAATTACATATGAACTTGACACTTTTCTCACTGTGGGAAAAAAAACTATTAAATGTCAAAGTGCTTACCGCGGCTTGCCGATGAGTGTTGGAAAGTATCCCATGAATCTTCACTTTGTCTTTTTCCATTTGGTCTATGTTCACCCACAGATCCCGGCTGGCAGAATCTGCTGGGCCATATATCCGGGAAATGTAGTAATTGTGATCCGTGTCCTCCTGCATTGGTGGACAAAGATGATCATTAACAACAGTAATATTTCTACTAATTTTACTTTCTTAAATGATTCTTCTCTAACTAAAGGTATCAGTAGTCTTCATACTAGCAAATGACTTAAGTAGACTCTTAGCAAAGTAAATTAAAATGAAAATGATACATGTAAAATAAGTCATCCTCTTTAAAAGAAACATTTACATACACGAAACTTAGAAGCAATTTAATACTTTGTATACAATATGATTTTTTCTTTTGGGTCACAGTAATAACAGAGACTTATCTGTTAACAAGACAAAAAATGCTTGATTTAGAAATATTTACTGAAAGTCTAAGCTATATAATTATAGTCAGTGACAGCAAAATTAATTTATTCTTTCAAAAAACATTATATTGGGGCCTATTTTTAGTTAATGGTCCCAAAAATTCAGATAATTGCTTCATTTGGATAATTAAAATCTACTTTTATTTGAATTCTCAATATGAGTCTTACTATAATGCTTTTAATAGAGATTTTACTTTTGTTTCGGGCTCAATGGAGAAAATGGATGTTTTAAAGTCATATGACACTTGGATAATACAAATCATATACATGTATTAGCCACAAAATTAGTTATGCTTATGAGGAGTTTGGGGGTGGCTCCTGCATTGTAAGCATTTGACATTCAATTATGATGATCTGTGTTTGGGTGTCAATCAACCAAATAAAAGCCAGACGTGCCACAATGTATCATTTAAAAAATAATTCACTTTTATTTATATGTGTTTATATGCATTTTATATGCATTTTGTCTGATATATGGGCATATGCACATCAATGCTGGTGTGTTTGGAGATCAGACGAGGGCTCTTGATATCTTGGAATCTGGAGTTAAAGACAGTTTGGACATGTATGAATCTTGGAGTGGTGGGACCCAACTTGGGTTCTTTGGAAGAAGCACTGAGCAAAGTTGCCAGCCCCAATGAGATGTGTCTGTTTATTCAGCACTATGAGAAAGGCTGTGGGAAAAGGCAAATCACTGGTACTCATATGCCAGCCAGCCTTCCAACATATATTCCGTGGGTGATTCTGACTCAAATAATAAGTTGTTGAATTATAGAGAAAGACAGCCAATATCAACCTCAGGCCACTGAATGTATTATACAGACACACACACACACACACACACACACACACACACACATATATATATATAATATATATATATATAATATATATATGCTGTGACTTTGTGAAATCATGCTTTCAATTTTCAGCTAAGTCAGCCTATCTTAAAAAAAATATCATGTCCTGAAAATACTAAAGTTAAGCTGAAAACTTGTTACTGAGTTATATAGCTCAAGCTTGCCAAGTTGTCATGGCAACTTTTATTCAAAGATGAAAGCAATTTATTGTTTACCTAAGCATGTAGGCACACAAGTTGTTAAATCCCAGGGAGGTGTTTGTTTCAGACACTTAGGAAAGCCATAAAATAGATACCTCAAAAATGTGACATTTTAGCACCAGTAAATTATTCAAACTCCTTTTTGTCATTTTTTTTAGGCATAATGATACTTAAAGAGTTATTGAAAGTCACTCTGAGCACAAAGAATTTCATTTTCTCTTCTAAAGAAAAACTGTTTCTACCACAAGAGACAATAAAACAACGTGCTAGTGTGATGTGCTGACTTGCCAATTCATTTATGAAACAAACTGTTACTGAAAGATGGCTCAGTGGGTGACTCTAAATGCTATAAACTCAGGTTGTCAAAAAATGCCTGCAAACGTGCAGCTGTAGGGAAACATAGGACATCTTCCAAAAACCTCAGAGGACAAGTCACCATAGCTACAGGCATAAACCAGTCTATACCACCTATCCTCAGCATCCTCTTCTGCCAGGGCTGGTGAGGCAACTAACTATAGTACTGATGCTTAGAAACAGCAATGATATTTGAACTTCAAGTTTATTTCATTGAGAAGTAAAAGAAACTGAGACCTTATTGTATGTCTATCCATGTGCTAATCTGGATATATTAAACATACTCAAGGTTCTCAAGCATAGGCATAAACTAATGACTACCAAATAGATAGTAGTCTATAATAAACATGACTTAAATGCTCTTTACAGATGTAGAGGCTTATTTTATTCTTGTAAAAATGTTTGGCAAGGCATTATTATTTATTTAAACGTAAAGATATTTGAAATACCAAGTGTGGAAATCAGTCTTTCCAGACAAAAAGAGAAAAACATTGATTCTCTGTAGTGTCCAATGTGCTACTCTAAGAAAGTAAAGGGGGCGATACAATAACAAATCTGAAGAAAGAGCAAAGTAAGAGTGAGTGCTCAAAGATGAACTCAAATGTGACTGTATTTGTATTCTGCCCACCCAGCCTCAAGAAGCACGAAATAGCACAGTGAGGTAGCGTGTCTGGGATATATGCTATGAAATAAACATTGTAGACCCTCCCTCAAAATCTATATATTAAAAACTCAACTCCCAACATCCTAGAAGTTTTCCAGAGGGTCTTTATTGGGGTAGTTAAAGTTAAACAATGCCATCAGTCTGGAACGTTGACGATATTGGGTTCATAGACATAAAAACAGGGAAGAATTTTCACCCTTCCCCTTCTAGATGCTCCCTTCCACACATCTTTGCAGCCTTTACTCTCCTCTTCTCTTCTGTTAGATTCTCTTCTTCCTCAGAATAGGTTCTCAGAAAATTTGCAATAAAATTGTGTATACTATGAAATTTCTGTTGATAATCCCTCCCCTTTTCATTCCCTTGACACAGGTTTGCTACAGCCTATTAAATATCTCAGGCTAGAATTAAACTTATGGCAACCTCCCAAGTGCTAGCTTATGGGAGTGAGTCTGTACACTTGGATCAAGAGAAATCCTATTGGTATCTAAAACAGACAAATCAGATTATATGCTGTAGTGAGAAAACATTGGGCAATCTAACACCTCCATAAGGTCTCATGGAAACAGAATCTACAAAATCTCAGAAAACAAACTCATGACTCAATTTTCTCCCTGACGAATTATATTTTTATGTAAAAGGAAGTGTCTTTTTAATATACAGAGATACAGAAAATATGAAATCAATGAGAAGTTCTTGAGCATATAGTACCTACTATCAAATCAGTCATGGGGTTATTAAATTGTCTATCATATGTATTTCAGTGAGAAATTAGCTATGTGCTACCCTGGCTCTATATAGAAGTGCAGAAGTTATGGCAAAAGTCTGATGATGAGCACTGACTCTATATGCCAAGAATACTTCACATAAGGTCAGATGTAGTTAATATAATTATAAGTGGGTATGTAATTTCTTTTCATCATGAATATATAGTAATAATATTCAAATTGTTATGTATTGAGCATGAACTGCCCCTCATAGGCTCATGTTTGAATGCTTGCTCTCCAGTTGATGGCATTGTTTGGGAAGTTTGTGGCACCTTTAGGAAGGAGGCCTCAGATGAAAGAAGTCCCTAGGCACAATCCTGTGTCCTGGCTTGTCCATTGCTTCTTGGTCCATTAAGATGTGTACTGCCTCCTCCACATGACCCTGCCTCATGAACTGAGATGCCCTGCCATGACTTCACTGTCACAAGGGATTCAAGTCCTATGTAAAAAAAAACAGTGACCCCCAAAGAAGCCTTTCCTTCCTTAGTTGTTTCTGGTAGTCACTGTGATAATAAAATAATTACAACACTGATATGATTAGCTCATGATTCATAGCAGTTAATTAACAGATGGACCCGAAGTTATAGAAATACTTGGTACAAAAGTTTTAATTTTTAAGGTCATTATTGGAGGCAGAAATCTGAAACTGAATAGTTAAAGTTGTATATGTGTCACCAAACGCCAGCAGAAAAATATTAAACTCATTACTTTCCTCAAATATCACTTTCAAGCACATCTAAGTTTTATGAAATTACATTTATCTACATGAGAAAGTGCATTTTTAATTAATTTCTCTTAATCCTCTCTGATTATATATGTATGTATATGGACATGTATAGATACATATATAATTAATATATGTTATATATCTGTGCTGAATATATTAAACACATACTAACTGATTAAGTTATAGTAACTAGATGAATAGCCTTCCTTGATATATTACTTGACATTTTCATAATTAACGCATTATGTAAGACTGAGAATTTTGTTGACATTTATACAAATCACTGGAAAACTTCATGATTTCTCAAAGAATAAACTTATTCATTGAGAAATCTATACAATATATTTTGAGCAAGGTATTTAATTTAAAAATTCAATCTTTTAAATAAAAATGCCAACACATATAAATAGGCACAAGGCTGTTTGCTGTGAAGAAATAAAAGACCTGTTGAAATTTTACATCGTATGCTTTTAAATCTTCCTAAGGACAAGTCCTTAACACACCAAGTCAGACAAGCAACATAGAATTACAATTCAAGAATTTGAATTATTTTGGGGCAAAGATGATATACAGATTTTAACAACATATTTTATTTTAAGATAATAGCTTCTTTGACTTAGATAAAACTCAATATTTTACACTAATAGTATCAAATTAATTTTATCATTAAGAGAAATGTAAGAAAATACCCATTTTCACCAATTGTTAATAGACTGAATTTTTATAATCACTATTGGCATCACCATATCGCATTTCTTACTTTCTATTGATTTATGCAGAAATTACTTAGCTAATGTTTCTACAGTATAGAACACTGTTAATGAGAAACATTTTAAAAGCACATATGGAAGTAAATGCTTAATAATTATTCAAGGAAAGTCTTAGGTCTTGAAGTATTTTGTAAGTCAACAAGAGTTATATTTTTAGGAGGTACTCATGTTTCTGTTAAGTTATTATCCAGTTATTATCCAGTATAACATGCTGCATTATTTTCAAGTTATATTTAAAGGCTCACAGAAAGGGTGTATAGAGACACCTCTATTCTGGCATCTGTCGGCAGGGGCATGGCAAGTATCTAAGAGAGAAAGCATTACGTATGCCCAAGGACTGA